GGTGGCCAGATAAGATAAGGAAGAAGAATTCCTGGGAATTGTGGAAGAGTGGGGCTGGCTGTGCCCAGGAGGCTCCCGAGGGAGCGTTGTCTCCACGTGTGTCCGGGCAGGGGGCAGCACACAGTGTGCTGGGGGGGTTGGATGTTCTAGTTGGGCAAATATCTCCTTAACTTAATTAAATTCCAATTTTATCCATTGGACCGTTGCTCCAGTGAGGTGTTTTTCCTCTTTCTGCCTGGAAAACTGAGCTTCTCAAGGAGAAGGACTTCCCTGTGCAGTCTCTTGCAGCCAGATGGGCTCCACTGCTGGGGTGGTGCCCGGGGCCCGTGCCTCGAGCACTGCCGGGAGGGGAAGGCTTCTGCCAGCTCCCCAGCACTGTGGGATGGTCTCCAGAGCCAGCAGTACGGGAGAGACTGGGATTTGGGGATTTGAAAAACAGGGATCACAATATAACGGAATAACCACTTCTGTGTTCCTAACAGCTGGTTCTGGTGCATGATTTGGGTCACGTATTCCCATCGGGATGAGGTGGCCAAGGAGCCAAACTGCAGCACCAAAGCTCTGGGTGTGTTTTACAAACCCTTGGAGGCATCAGGGCCAGGACTGAGCTGTGTTTTGGGGCTCCCCCTGTCCCCAGGCTCAGCTCCCTCTGCCCTTTCGCCTTTCCAACAATGCCGCCTCCCAGGAGCGTCTCTCCTGACTGGCGCAATCCCCGTGTTCCCGATGATTCCATGCCCAAAGCCCTTTGCTTTTTATGGGCAGGAGCAGCATGTTTGGAGCTTCCCAGGCTGTAAGATCATCCGCGGGCCGGGGCCGGAGCGCTCCTGCTGGGGGCCAGGCTGGCCGGGCTATTTGGGGGGTGCTGAGTTCACGGAGCCGTGACGGGATGTTCCCTCGGGCGCTGCGAGGGGCCGGGAGCTGGGAGCCAGCACAGAGGAGTTCTCGGGGCTCAGGTGACCCAAGGGCAGCGCAGGAATGAGCACTGCAAGCTGCCGGGCAGAGGGAAGCAGCCTGGCTCTCTGGGACAGGGCTGCACACGGACACAGACAGGAGCCGGGCACAGGGATGGAATCCAGGACGTCCTGCAGCAAAGGCACCGTGTCAGGACAGCCAGAAGTGGGACACTGGGGACACACGACTGTCCCTGGGTACCCACATGGGGGACACACGACTGTCCCTGGGTACCCACACGGGGGACACTGGGGACACACACATGGGACAGTGGGGACACACGACTGTCCCTGGGTACCCACATGTGGGACACACGACTGTCCCTGGGTACCCACACAGGGGACACGGGGGACACACGGCTGTCCCTGGGTACCCACAATGGGGACACAGGACTGTCCCTGGGTACCCACACATGGGACAATGGGGACACACGGCTGTCCCTGGGTACCCACAATGGGGACACACGACTGTCCCTGGGTACCCACACGGGGGACAATGGGGACACACGGCTGTCCCTGGGTACTCCCACCCCTGCTGGGGTGCGGGCCTGGCCTGACCAGTGCTCCCGTGGCCGTTCCCTGAGGAAGCAAACCGAGGAGGGAGGGGCAGAACAGGGGCAGAACTGATGGGAGGTTTCTCATTCCTTTGATTTAGCTGGTGAATCACTTTAATGACTGAAGTGGTTTTAATTAAATTCAGCTGCTCCGGAACCAGGAATTCCCCAGTACAATTTCTCCTTTTTGGCTCAAGCTCTCCCAATCAAAGGCCCGGCAGATGGAGAGAGCTGGGAAAATTGAACGCCCGTGATGAGGAGAGGCTGATGGTGTCATCTTTGACCTCCACCCGTCATCCCGAGAGAGGAGGGCGGAGAAAAGCCCGGAGCCCTCGCTGGCGGCAGCCGCATCCCGCCCCGGGCTCCCGGCGGTTCCAACCGCGGCGG